AAAGGCTTGAATTCAAGAAGTTTTAGATATGCGTGGTTTTTTTTTGAGTTGCAAAATCCACTTGAACATGACGCTGCTTTTTTCGAAGTTTCTCAGGAACCATTCGAGCACAGAATTCGTTTTGGCATAGTTGGATAGAGAATTTAATTGGGAGGGGGGGTCATGACCCCCCATGTCCCCCACCTTTTTGGGGTTTTGAGGCAGAGTACCAGACAAGGAGTTTTTTTGAAACAATCTAATACTGCTTGAAAGTTTAACTTTAGCGGAAACAATAGAACGCGTGCTCTATTCCATTCTCTTTGAGACTTTGATTCTTTACTGTTCAGTGCATTGCATACGAAATTTTCAGGAGGCCCACCTGGTTCTTTGTCGACATTTATCGATTTCCTGAGGAAAAACATACAAAAAGACCGACGGGCGACAGCCGGCCGCTAATTTCTTGTTTTTTTCGTTAACAATCACGCCGAAATGAATTATTAAATTTAAGTAAAGGCAGGACCACACATTTACCTGAACCTGGTCACTATTAGACGTGGGGGCAGGTGTGAGCGGTCATTCCAAGAATAATAAGTTTCGTTGCATACTTAATTACTGTTGTTGCCCAAGAACGCAAGTGCTTCTTAAACCGTTTTCAACGAAGCTGAAGATAAGAAGAAAGGAATGAAAGGAAGCGGATGATGGGAACGCAAAGGGCGTAAGCTGGTAGCTTGGGTGAGAAAATGCCACCCTCGTTCACAAATTGCTGCGCGATAAGACTGTTTGTCTTTGGCACCACTTCCTCCTTTCTCTTTTAATGAGCGACGGAAATGCCACCTGTAATATATTGCTTTCGGATGTCTTTTTCGGCTTTTCAATTTCCTTCGAACCACTGGACATGAAACAGACCCAAACTTGCGTACCGAATGAACCGCAGAGAAAACGGCGAATTTTCACAATTTTGAAAGTCCCGGAAGTGAAACAGGTGCACCAACCGTACGGTTCCCACCTTTTGATGATCAAGGGCTGATCCAGGGAGGGGGGTCATGGGGGTCATGACCCCCTCCATTCAATTTTCTATCCAACGATGCCAAAACGAATTATGTGGCTAGAATGATTCTTGAGAAACTTCGAAAAA